CAAAAGCAAAGATTCACCAAAAAAAGATTATGGTGTCAGTGTGGTGGGATGACAAAGGAATTTTGTATTTTGAACTCATGCCACAGAACCAAACGATAAATTCCAATGTGTATGTTGAACAACTCGAAAAACTGAAGGATGCAATTGAAGATAAGCGGCCGGCATTATCAAATCGGAAGGGTGATGTCTTCCACACATCTTTGGTTACTCGGCAAAAATTATTGGAACTGGGTTGGGATGTTTTGTCACACCCACCATATAGCCCTCACCTTGCGCCTTAGGATTACCATTTGTTTCGTTCCATGCAAAACTCTTTAAATGGTAAAATTTTTAACAACGCGGATGATGTCGGATCACACCTAATTCAGTTTTTTAATAGCAAAGACCAGACATTTTACGAACGGGGAATTTTTACTCTGCCAGAAGGATGGAAAAAGGTCATCGACAAGAACGGCCAATACTTAATTGAATAAAGTTATACTTTTAAACAAAAATTCCGAATTTGCCTTCTTATTTGAAATCGGCAATGACGTAGTTGCCAACCTAATATTACTATGGCAACTTTTCGTTGGTTAAGTACGAGACTGGTCTCCCAGATTTTGGCGACAAGCGTCAGCATTGTTTCCTGGGCTTTTGGTTCCATTCTAATTATAAATTCCTTATGAATACCGTCTTTGCAAGGAGACTTTTAGCACTTGAGTTGTTTAAACACAACATTAAGTTTGCAAGATCTGAATGGTTTAGTAAGTACATTATTTAGTGTTGCTATAGCATCCTTAATTTCACCAAACTGTTATACTTGTATCGTTAAATCTCTTGAAGATTTGATAGTTGATATTTGAGAAGAACTTGCTGAAGGAATTCCATTTAGCTTGCAAGATGGCTTGTCTTAGGACAGTTGACTGCTTCTCCAGGCTTGTACGTCTTCTGTTGTTCCAGTCTGATTAGCAGTTTTGCGAAGGGCGTCCCGTTTTCGGTCCACTTCCTCAAGGTGTTCAGACCAAAACACTCGATGGTGTTTAGTCTTGAATCGGGAAATGGTTTTCTTTACACACCTGATTATAATATTCGTGATATTTTGTAATGTTTGTCAGGATGTTGGTTGAAGTTGAGGGGACTTGTGTGAAGTTCATTGTCTAAAAGTTTGTGAATCTTGGTGAATGAAGTTCATTGTCTAAAAGTTTGTGAATCTTGGCCAGTCAGCCTTCTTGAAGTTCCATGGTAGCTTAGTTGGCACTTTTCTTGTCCTGCTTTTGCTGCCGATGGTAATACTAGCAGTGACTGGTTTGTAACCAGAACCAGGATCGTCAATTATTTGGCGGTGAGTATGCTCACTGATGTCGCTTGATGCCAGGCGCAAGTCAGGAATTGTTCTGGTTCCATTGTAGGGCAAATTTGTAGCCGGATCCTCATTGCTACAAATAAGTTCCAGAGGGTTGTTGTTTAGCATGTCTTCGATTTCCTTTCCAGCTATGTT